ATGACTATTCGAAGAGAATCATTTATATCATCCACATGTTCAGAGAAGAAAAAAAATCAGTATGCAACCACCATCAACCGGTTAAGACTAATCATCGCCAAGAGGCGAAAAAAAAAAAAAAACAACCTTTTCCGGCGCTCTTCCCGCGAGGGCATTGAGGGGGCGGTCCAAAGTCCCACGTGCGCGCCACGCGCCTCCAATCAGATGATGAGCGGAGCGTGTGCCGCGGGAGCGACGCGGAGGCGATAACAGCGCGGAACGCACGCAACGGCCGCTCCCCGCAGAAGGGCAGCGGCGATTGCAGGGCACGGCCTCACAATGGAGAAACGGAAATAAAAGCTACAGACGGGTTCGCATGAACACAACTATAATTGCCGCATTATTTCAGTACATTTTTTATGTTTGGAATTCATTGAGTAAACGAGAACTAAATTTAGTATTTGGCGTTTCGTGTTCATCTAAAAAATATTTCTGGAATGTTCAGAAACTAGTAAGTAATTTACATTTTAATAACTTTTTCTAGTAGTGTCATATAGAGCTCTGGATATTTTAATAAGCAGAGGTTCATCAATTCACTCGATGTGAAAATAAGGATGTTTAAGGACGAACTGAATTATAAAATATAAGACAATAATAATAATAATAATAATAATAATAATAATAATAATAATAATAATAATAACTAGCGGCCTGAGGCCGATCAGATGACCGAGATCGCGAAAGCAATACTGCCATAGTGGTCTCGTTACAGAAGAGCGCGGGCTCGAGTCCCGCCTCGGGCATGGGTGTATTTGTGCTCGCATGTGTGAGTCGTCCTTTCACCCCTCAATATCATCATCATTTCATCTTCCATACCCCCAGGGCTAACAACCTTAAGGGATAAAAATCATATACAGCTAAATGCTGATTCCCTGATAAAAATTGCATGCCCCTGCCGCCGAGATAATGTTTCTGAGCCCCGGTAAATGCAGGCTGCATGCACGCGCGGTCCCCGCGATTAATATTTTAACAAAACGTCTTATATAATATAGATCATTTCTAAGGTAGTTTATACATCAAAAATATGAAAAAAAAGTTGTTCCATAACACAACTCGAGAATAGCAAATATTTAATGGCATGCGGCCTCTTTGTTGAAGCATTGGTGTGGCATGGCGTCAGCAGTGATTAAGAAGTAACGCACTGTGTATGAGAATGCAATGGGTACGCGCAGTATGAGAATATGCAGAATAACACAAACAAATATTAAAACTTTTACGTTAAAGTGAAAACTCATTGTTTTTGAATTTGTCTCGATTTCGTGAACATCCAACGACACCATAGACACATCTAAGAAGGCTGGAAGCGACATAGTACTCAAAGTTTCTGCGCATTAGAAATCGCATTAGTAATACGGATTGTCGATCTGGGTAGCCGAGATCACAAAGGCAGTAATCTCGTTCGATCTCGAATCTATAGTTCGAATTCCGCTTCGGGCATGGATGTATTTGTGATCGTCCTTTCACCCCTCATCACCATCCTACCACGTCATTAAAGAAGTATTAATAATTCTCTGCTGAAGCAGAAGTTTCATGCCGTTAATACGATGTGCAGTTGGCTAAAAAAAGAAAAAATACAAATTACTCGTGGATTGAACCTTCCATAGAAGAGAACGGCAGCGACGAGAAATATGTATTTTCATAATATTATATCGTTTATACTCTAAAGGATACAAGTGTCGAAAACCTGCAATTCCCATTTGCCTCTTACGAAAGATAGCGACTCTCAGAATAATATTGATAGAAATGCGGAGGAGTGAAATCATGTCCTTATAACAATGCTGGGAAAGTATGGAGCTTTTAAAGGGCATTGAGTATTGCAATCGACTCCAATCTTGATCTTCTTTGCTTGCGCGAATACATAAAATTATTCCGAAACTCACCGCGCAGCGCAAAAGATCGATAGTACCGTCGATCGCTTTAATGCTCGACCGTGGAACAAAAATCCCCAATAATATTCCACGAGCAGCGAAACTTCCGCACATCAACGGCCACGAGATTTTGTGCGGAGCCCGACAACCCGACCGGGTCTAACGCACCGTATGTACTTAACAATGTCACACGAATCTCGGGACGGACTTCGTTTCCTGGAAGCGCAGGGGAGAGGCGGCTCATAAGCCCCGGGCTGACAGGTGCTCGGCGAGCGAGTGGCAGAGGCCCCGCGGGATTACGCCAGATTATCCAGGTAAAGGACTTACAGCGCTGGACGCGCAGATACGCGCGGGCCTAGAAGCTCGGGCTTCCGGGAGAAACATGCGCCACGGGGGGCCTCACTCGCAAACGAAGGTCGGCTTGCGCAGTGCTGCCACGTCCCCACACGAGCCCTAGAGCGAGAAAGTTCTTGAGACACATGAAGTTCTCAATTTTCACTAGTCGAGGGTCAATTTTCAAACACAGTACTCGTATCTCTGCAAAGAAATGCGAATCTTTTCAACAATGCCGAGACGATTTTCTAGCAAATAAAACAACGTATTTTCATAATACGTAGTTGAACTCGATGTTCACGGTAATGAATGCTAGTAATTACGTCCTCTTTACATCTTAGAAATTTCGTAGGCGACAACACAACTGTTAAATGGGCTCGTTTACGCTTTGTCATACTTCTGAACGTTCATCTAATGTATTCACGACAAACAGCATTAAGCGACAAGCAAGAATCCTCTTTGGTAAAAACAAAGAGGATTCTCAAACCGCAAAAGGGAATTGCTATAAATATTTCGTTAAACTAAATATGAGCTCTGAAGAAAACTCAGAAGTAAAAATTGCAATAATTAAACATGGCGGATACTTTCCCAAGCTTTTTAATTTAAATAACATTTGCCTCAGTTGAAAATGTCGATTTCCCCCCCCCCCCATCTTCAAAGAGTTCTGACGCGCAGTCAATGTGGAGGGAAAACTCGTATACATCAGGCCTGAAAAAAGAGCAATGGCCATGTTTTACCACAAAGAACTTCTATTCCACTTTCCTCCATACTCATTTTATTTCATCATCATCTTCTTCTTCCATGAGATTCGAAACACCTACGGATCACATCGCCTTCGTTTCCTAACATCCTCTGGTAATGCTGAGCCCCCGCTGGGAATTAGTTTCACAGCGACCGCTCGCCTGTGGACGTCGGCGGCAAGGTCGCGTCGCTAATCGGCACACGTGCGACGGATGGGAAGCGTGTAGGTGCCAACCGATCGCGGCGGCTTCGGCGTCAAACTTTTTAACGATGCCTCTGCCGCCACGTAGGCGGCCCGACGAGACGAGACAAGACGAGCTCATTACGAGGAAATGGGCGGCGGGCGTGGGCGGCGCCCGGACACATCACCGCCGCCGCATTAAGAAAATGCAAAACGCAAAACGGGAAATCGGGATTCGCCCCAATGATGCAAGCCTCGAGGCGAACAACCGCTGCTGCTTCGTCGGCGAGGGAAAGGAGGCGGCGTATTCGTAATGAAACGTGTCGAATGGCAGCGTGTATTGTGCGATGCTTGTCTTGCGCAGCGAATCGCTCAACGTCGTCATTGAAAACGCGTCGAGCATGAAAATTTAAATACTAGCTGACAAGTTAAAGACAACTGGCAAAACCTATTTTCTTTAAAAAATAAAGAAATCTCTAGGAATGCAGAAATAAAGAAATCTCTAGGCAAGGGAGAATGCAACAACTCATATTACACAGGTTCATTTGCCTTTAACTTAAATTATCAAGAATTTGTCGAAATATGATCAGCACACAAAACGCGTCATATTCGTTCATGGTATCTAAAACTTTAAATTATTAAATGTGTGATCTTCACAACAAAGACGTATAATCTTATTCCAAAATAGTATAGTGGAAAGTAATTACACTGTCGTGTTCTGCTCAATGTGAGGCGCCAATGATTCTATTAATTTGCTCTAGTTCCGTAAATCCAGGAGCTTGATTTTACAGGGAGTCCATACTTCAGGAACAGTAACGGGAGACAAAATGTTTGTTAGGATACAAATGACAGAAAATATAATTTGCGAATTTATGGAGCAGAGTGCGAATAACGACACGCTTACATCATATAGAAGTGCAAGAAATTCTAGCAACGTCTCCCGCAATTGAGATTCCGAAAGTACGAGAGTTATTATTGGTAATATGAATAGACAAGCACACGATCTTTTTTTATTATTTTTTTTTAATTTTTTTATTTTTTATTTTTTTTTACACCCGAGACTATTCCTTCCCTATATTGATAATAAAAAGAAAGACACCCATTGGTTTATGGGTCCATAAATAGAAGTAAATCATTGCAAGTGTGATAATTATTGTATCGATTGAATGGAAGATTTTGCGTATGTTGAGTGCAAGGATATTTTGAATACGTCTTTTCTGCACAATTTCCAGGTTTGTAAACTTTTTATCATTTTGGAAAGCTTCCTGTAATCAGTAAATGAATAAATATCAACAACCCAAATCAACAAGTAAGTTCGATTCTCTTCATTCGTTCGTTCTTCGATTCGTGGAATATAATGTGTAAATTGACGCTCGGAAATCTAGCAATATATTTCTTAGTGCACTTCTTCGCAGACTTGTATCGAACGGATACCATTAAGAAAGATTCCAATACCAAAGAAAATTTGAACCCGTGTACAGTGTTGGAGTGCCCTCCGAAGAATCGAGAGTTTGGGCCGAATTGAGGTAACCGACAATCTGCATGAAGTTCACTTCCCGCCTATAGTCAGCGTTATAACAAGATGCTCAATGTGCAATCATCGGATGAGAAAATCACCACCTGCAGAGAAAGACGGATTCGTTTCTCGAGCGGCAGCATGTAGGACATTACAAGGAACCCTCCAGCATTGCCCTGTGGGAACAACGTAGACGACAACATAAACATCACTTAAGAATGTATAGCTGAAACGAAACTGCCGAATGATGGTTTATTTTCATGCCTGGAAAGCGTTTGAGATGAATATTAATAATGAAAGTGTTTCCCACCGTTTCGCAACCCTAACCTCCTAAAGCAGGCTTGCCAAACTCAGCAGGTACCTGCTCGGAGCTCGCCTGGTCGCAGACGCTGTGATTTCACAAGAACCATCCTGTGAGGACGACAGAAAAAGAGGGTCCTTGGTAAAGAAACTCGTATTTCATTGCACCAAGTTTCAGTCGATGAAAATTGCTTTTAAGAAATTGAAAATATTTGCTATCCGACAATACTTTTTAAACATGAATTTGGAATAAAATGTCAAAAAATATGGAGGATATTTATTTCAAAACCTCCTCAACAAAAACAAGTTTAAGAAATAATGTGTGAACAATAACAATTTTCGTCGTGTACAGGGATGTAGTAAGAACCATGTCAAAAATTTTATTTTGGATCGATCATTTTTCATACGTTTTATTTTATACCATTAACTGGAATTCACACATCTTGCAATATCAACATTAATTAATGAAATTTCTATGTCTGTATATATATATATATATATATATATATATATATATATATATATATATATATAAATAAAAATAAATGTATTGATGTCTTAATAAATATGTTTACGAAATACCAACGCGTTTTTTATGTTCGAGTCCCTGACTTAGTTGCTTCCTCAAGGCTGCGTTTCCCCTGACTCGAAACTCATCACCGGCCCGATGAGCTGATTTGAATGTCATTCGCGTGCCCCTTCCTATGACCTAAACCCTAAATCAAATAACGCTACATTTCGCTTAATTACCCTTGAATAATTTATTAATAACTGCGCCTGCCCTTACCATACCTTGCCACAACTAAACACAGAATAAACCATAAGCTAAATGTACAAGTAAGAAAAAAAATCTAATCCCAAACTAACACCTGAATCCTTAAACAGAGAATCTCGCTGCAGCTCAGTATCACTAACGAGAATCTCGCACTTCTTCGCGGCGACGGCAGCGGAGCCCGCGCCGCGGACTCCCGTCGCCCGCGGGGGCGGGACCGCCGCCACCGCCGCGAAAATCGATGTCCGTGACCTCGCATAACCGCGGCGGAGGCGGTTGCGGCGAGTAAAACGGGCCCTGGCGCGGGTATTTTTACCGCGGGCGCGTGGAACAACGGCGGGCGGGGGCGCGGCGGAGCTCGGAGGGCCGCTGGTGGCTGCGGCAGATACGCCCACCCGCCGCAATTATTGGCACGCGACCGACGACGCACGCGCCGAGCGGCGCGAAGGCTCGCTCGCTCGCCCGCCCCACCCCCGCGCCGCGGAAGCACCGGCGCCCGGGGCCTCGGAAGGCCACTTATGAGTTTTACGAGCGCGGTATGCGGTCGCTTTACGACTGCCATGAAGACACTGCACAAGTTCTTAAATGTTGCTAAGCTGGCTTTCGTAACACAACCTTGCCACACCGGCCGAAACAATTGCAATTTTAATAGTAATCTAGCGCGTATATATAACTCGCGTCTCTATCAGATAATGCGCTGTAAAAATGTTAATAATGTCGCATTCTACATCGTATCTTCCACTGCAATATTCTTTACGCCCCCCTCCCTTTTGAAAAAAAAAAACATCTTATACGAACAGTATTCTCGTCCACACCGCTAATAAACGGGTTTATCTCTGAAAATGATGTTTATAGAAATAAAGGACCACAATTGCAAAGCAGATGTTCAGTACAGAATAGCTACAATTTATGCTCACATAGCAGAATGAAATTAAACGGCACATTCAAAACATTTATACCGATAGTGCGACAATGCATGGGCAAATCAATTAAAGGCAAGCGAAGACTGGGTGGGAGAATGAGCAAAATCGTAGATCCGGCGATTGAGAGCCAATCTCTGAAACGAAAAAAGCCCAATACATACCGAACGCGAGATCCAGCACGAAGTCCAACGAGGAATCGGCGACGCGAGGCTCGGGAACAATGCGACAGGCGGCGCCGCCCGGCTCAGGACCACTGGCGGCCGGTGGCGAAGTCGCCAGCGCAAAGAAAGGCGGCGCCCTCCCCCCCTAGCGCCGCGCCCTTTCGCCCAAACCCTCGCCCTGCGCCGCCCGCCGCAACGTTGCCACACCGCACGCCAATCCTTTCACTCCCGGCGTCACGGAAAATCGGCCCACGGGCGCGTTCACCAAGACACTGCCTGTCAGGACGCACAAGAAAATTCACATTCACCCCCCGATGGTCAAGAGCGGCAAGAAATGGGACCGACGATAAAAAAATTTCAAAAATTAATTATTCATTCGAAATTATATATTTTTGCATCGATCGTACACAGTTACTCTCAAGATATAAGATTTAGGTATAGAAGTAATATACGAATTACTAGGAATGAATCCCACTCCCCAAACAAAATGAAAACCTGTAGTATGTCTTTTAAAGAATCCAAACGCATAAACGTAGGGCCGACGTTCTTTGACACACCTGCCCCAAGCCCCGGTAATACCAGAGAGGTTGATGAAATTATATTTATATTTTCAATTTTGAATGAAATCAAAAGACACGAAATACATTCTGTTATATTTTTAATATTCGATATGTGTAATGTGTTACAATTACATACACAAAAACTATCAAATCCTTCTCTACGTATGGAAGGCCACTCGATCACAATTCAATAACTCGAACAAACAACCAAAACGCGTGAATTAATTGCAGGAAACGGAAACATCCACATCGATCAACTTAAATAGAAAAATGGTATAACTCTTTCCGTTGCTCTACTATAATGCACAAATACGCATGTTTGTGTTCGCCATTCCTGAATACCTGAGGGGAATACCTGAAACGCAAGATGCTACGCTCTTCGCAATGCCGAAGTCTATGTTCTTTGGCCACCTAGGAATTGGTACAGACTGATCAATAGGAATATGTTAGAGTGATCAGAATTCTTTCAAGCGCAATTGAACTACTAAAAAAAAAACAATATAAAATATCGATTAGATGATCTTTATAAGATATATAAAAATTAAAATAATTTTTATATTATATTATAAATTGAAAGTGAAGATCATACACAAATTCCACAGAAAATTGTTTTTAAAATGATTTTTTACATACCATTTCCCTCCTCAAATATTTTATGATTTATTGTAAAAATAATTACTTTTCAAATAAGGTTTCATGATCAATGTATTAACACAGTATAGTACGTAAGTAAAAAGTTCTTAACAGACGAAGGTTATAAAAAATATGGTCTTAAAACTTCGTGCATGAATACTGAAAAGTAAATCATAGCAGAAATCAATGGTGGACTTCCGTTATGATATTTTTCCCACGTCGCATGGTGTTATGTATGTTGTATGCAGAGACTCAATGGGTCTAAAAATTTAGTCGGTACGTTCAGTGAGAGAATTGGCGGCATAACATATTGAAATGTTTGTATTTTTCGGTCACAATCAAAACTGCTTCACTGCCTTTGAATTTTTCAGAGTTCCTGGGAATCTAAAGAAATTACCGACACCTCTCATTAAGGTGTTTAGTTTCTTTCAATTTACGTGTGCATTGCAAATTAGAAACGTAGGTATTAATGCATCGTCTTTCCTCGCCATTTCCTTTCAGCGAAATCTCCTCCCCGCAAAAATTATTAAATGCCAAAATTGCAAAAAATATTGTACGATTACTGATAACAAATGGTCATCAACTTATTTTTTTAAATCAGGAAAACTTCCTAAAGGCAACCGAACGGCAAGAAGCCCAGTGAGATTACAGTCCAACTCCAACCTTCTAATGAGAGTGTGGGAAAGGAGGAAGAGGCCCGACGCGGTTGGTGAAGTGCCACCGCTTGGCCCCTGTACAACGGCCTCCGTGTAATGAGGGAAGTTTCGTTAATTCGCTCTCCACGTTACCGCGAGATGAGCTTCGCGAAACGGCTTGCTCGGGCTCCTCTATTTAGCCAGGTGGGCGGCTTTCATCTCACGCCTCAACACGCACGCCGACCACTCACTTCTTGCGGCCAACGGCCGAGTCGCGGGAGCTGTCAGTACTTGGTTTGTTTTCACAATTACCAACAATAATGATTAATCAGAGTGAAAAATATGCAACAGGAAACTATATTTCATCGCAAAAAAGCGAGAGTTTAAGCATCAATGAACATTTACCTAAATCAAAGCTTTATTGAGTAAGGAATGTTCATGACGTACGGTGATACAAAATGATCTTTCCGACCAACGTTATAAAACTGAACTTCGCTCTCCTGGGGGAAAAAAAAGAAAAGTAAAATAATGATTCTAATGATTATAGGAATTTGCCTTCCACGCCACCTCATGACAAAACTACTCGTGTTTTATGGGGAATTCGAACCCATAACCCGAGTAAAGAGCTGTTCAAGCCGCATTCAGAGACGCTATTTAGGCGACCCTACGCCCTTTCGAAGAAGATCAGCCAACTGCGCTGGTACATGAACATATCTAAAATATAGGGAAAACTAAAATCCAGGAGAAAAAATGCAAGGACAACTCCCTTCCACGCACGCATGCGAGAGCGTCGAAGGTCTGTTTCACACGACCTCACTCTAAAAGAGCGAGTTGTCTGTCGAATGCATGGAATAGAATGGAACGACCTCGACGACGAAACCGGAGAGCGGCGGAGACCGGGGGCTCTTCTGCTCGCCCTGCCTCGGCGGTCGGCGGCGGAAGGACTGCGTCCGAGATGACGACAGAGGTGGCCGCAGCGATAGCGCACCGCAACTGGTCGCATGCATCTGCCCTGTTGTGGCGGTGGCGGCGACGGGGGCTGTGGCAACGATGTGAAGATGCGGCGGCGGCGGCGGCGGCGGCAACGGCGTTGGTTGTGGCGAAGTGGTGGCGTCGGTTCTGGCGAATTGGTAACGGCGGCGGCCGTGGAACGTCAGGTCACACTGCGGGCTAACGGGACAGTACCCGATAGAATACCTCAGCAGAAAATGAATAGTAAATGCTCCCAGAACAGCAAGTTTCCCAACTTTATAAAGTACTGACCACCATCGTTAGTTTTAGACGACATTTATCATAATTAAAAAATATTGAAGCAATTTCAGCGAAAAAATCTGCTTCGGAGATTAGAACATTCTAAATACTCACAAACACTCTGCGTCTTGACATAGGCGCTGACAATGTATGAGGAGGAATGCAATAAACAAATTTGTAGATTGTACGACTTTACAAATACAAATCGTATATGAGATAAAGTTAATTGAAGTATCCTAAATTCGGCGATGTTAGCAATTCACTTCGGTAGAGACGGGAGGGGGCTGAACGCTTTTGTTTTTCAATTGATTTATTGACTGTATTCGGGCGCGTCAGCTGCTAAGGTCGTTAGTCCTGTAAACGTAGTGCATATTGTATCGCAGGTAGCGGCTTCGCCCTCGCGATGGCGAGAATCGGCGCCGAGAGTCTCGTTTGCTATCGAGTTCCCCCCCCCCCCATCAGGTGTATCTCACCAGCGTGGCACTAACCCAGCCGGGACAAGCTCCAATCTCCCGACGGGTCTTCGGCCATGTGCTGACGCGTAATGTACGCTGGTGTTTGTGAGCGGTTCCGGGGAGGGGGTATGGTTCTGCTCAGACATTCGCCTGGTGTAGATTGGAGAAACTGCGGAAAACTACCAATTAGAGAAACCGGCCGCTAGAATTCTCCTCCAGACAGCGGCTGAGTAGGTAGCTTGTGCCGAATATCCTGATTCAAATCGCAAGACCTCTTAATTACAGACACTGTAGTGACATTAATTGATGCCCTGAGCCAACTAGTCCGGCCTTTTTCTCCTTTTCTCCTTCTTCCTCTTCTCCATCTTCCCCTTCTCCTCCTCCTTTTCTTCATCTCCTTCAACCTTTGGCTTGCCAAGGCAGGACTGTGGCAATCGCGCGCCGCCGCGTGCGCGTGCGCCCATCCGAGCGAAAAGCGTCTTCGCTGGGTGCAAGGGACAGCCGCCGCCGCCGTAACTCAAAAATACACGCGTGACGTGCGCGCGGTTGGCTCGCGTGCGCCCGGCCGAGGGGCGCGCTGGAGAAGGTCGCTCTGCCAACAGGAAAACGTGCGTGCGCGGCCGAGTTCGCGACATCATTCTCCGGAACGCGTCCCGCACTCGCGGCAGCTTCTGGCGGCGATGGCTCGTGCCGCGGCGGATTTTCAACCAGCGCCGTCATTGTTCGTTCACCCTATCGAGATCGAATCGGGAATAAATCTAATCGATTACATACGCCTACAAATAAATTTACTCCATTTTTTTTCATAAGACATATCTTCCGATGAAAACAGCGACGGTTCCAGGTAACTCCGGGTTTTCTGTAACAAATTTCGGGGTAACCAAATGGGAGAAACATTTGAGTCGGGAAACGTGTCTCCCCTCCTTCTCAAATGGTTGCAAGGCCAATTTGAGATCAAACGTTTCGGTGATTTAAAAGAAGTAGTGGAACACAGGTGCATACATTTTTATATATTTAGATTCCAATAATGGATAAAACTGGGAGAGAACCTTGGCATCTACGAAATTGAATGTGCTATTCCATTCGTTTCTAAGTCCAAATCACGGGACAATAATTATTATAAAGATTTTCTTTTGTAGCTGAAAAAACTAATATCAAAACATTCAGCCATTGGTTCGCTATACTGTTCATAAAGGTGACTTGTTTTTGGTCTTTATTCAATGAATAAACACGTCGAGATCTAATGTAGAGTAATTCATTCGCTGAAACAGCATTGTTTAATACTGTCATGTGTAATAGCATAAGTCACTGTTCCAGCACAAAATTATTATTTCTAATCCGTTTTGGTATCTTAATAGTGGTAATCCATTATAGAGTTAGTGAATTGTCGATTACTTAGTTTATCGACTCTATACGTAAATTCAAATAGTAGAATGTTTTATATCTTATATAAAAGCGTGAATCTGCAGTGTTATCCGTTACGTTAATTGTACAATTTCAATCCTCCACAACTCCGATAATCGTATATTTGAACAACCCAATGTGTAGCATTATCTATGTCTCTAGTTACGGAGTGTGTCTACATACAATATTCCGAAGTGTCATCCCACGCGCGAGGACGCACCACACGCGCGGTCAATCGTACAGAAGTAGGAATGCACTTCGCGCGCGCACACACACACACACACACACACGCGCACTTCATACACCCTCCATTCACCCTCACACGGCCTGACAGCGGCTTTGTGAAAGGTTCACTTCTGGGCGTCCATCCACAATGGCCCACGCTCAGTTCGAAACGGCGGCGCTTGCGGGGGGTTCGGCCGCGGGGCTGGCGACCAAAGCCGGAAGGGCCACCCCGCCACCCCCTTCCGCCGCCGGCGATAACGAGACGCTCCGCCGCCGAGCCAAGCGGCCGTCGCCTGGCACCTCGTCAACAGCGCCCCGCGCGTGCGTAACCGCCCCCTTTACACCACGTCCGTTTACGCGCTCCTTGGCAACCCTGCTCTCCCAGCCACGAGGCGGGCGATTCCCACATGATCAATGGCGAAAACTAATGCATCACATCAAATATTCCATCCCGCGCATACCATTACGAAATTTCATTAATGCCAGAAATTGGTCAGAAATGTACTTCAACGGTCCGAAATAATTTATTTTAGGTTAAAATTACGCAACGCGAATTTAGTTAGAGGATTATGCATCGTAAAACGTGTTAACATTCCATTATTCGCTACATAGTTGCGATCCGCGATTCGCGGAATCGAACTCTTCCCATTGTTTCACAATTTTCCTAATTGCTTTCCGATGTCGGGTAGGCCTCTCATGCGCTTCGCAGATAATCCCCTTTCACTTTTGGCCTCCCCAGAAAAGACAGCCTGACGGCCTTGTTACGGGAGAGGAAGTACGAAACTCGACGTTCATCCATCAGACGAGCAAGAACTTCCAGACACAGGACGACGCAGTAGAATTAAATACCAACTTAGAAATCATTAACAATAAATCAGAATTACGATAATTCGTACTTATTTCGAGTTTCATTACAAAATAACAATACTTGCTCAAACGTTATATGAAATTATTACAATACAAGCGTAAGACAACACAATCAAAGTAAAGATCACTTTGTATATCTCTTTATTCCTCTGCTCCACAAAACAAAAATTGAAGGGTGATGTTTAAAGCACAGCTCTTCGTCTTTATTTCCTCACGAGGAAAATCAAAGCCGCCTTAGATTAAGAGTCACTACGGGAATCAGCGCTTCCAAACACTCCAGGCCTTACAGTCGCGCGGGTCACAACTGTGAACTCTGTTTCCTCTTGCGTGTTTATTTAATTTTCCGTGAATTCCGCTCACTTCTCATCACGTGCCAGTTGCTGGATTTCGGCGTACCGCCTGAGGCGATCCGAGTTCTCGACACTTCCAGAATATTTCGGGTACGCAAATTTAATTGGACGATTAGTCCCCACCTCTATTCATAAAACGAAGTGCGTTCCTTCCGCGTGTCCATGCGACAGCGAGGTTTTTAGAGTTAAAAAACTCTCCGTATGTACGAGTGTGCTCGCCACGTAAAATGTACTTGTTTTTGTAACATTGGAGTCCTATTGAACGGAATCATGACAAATGCACAAAAGTATCAAAAGTATATAGTGCGGCAATCGCCTCAGAACGTTATTCGTATTGTTCTCGAACCGATTGTTAACGAGTTATCAACCGTGAAATGTACTCTACAACTTCGTGTTGAGGTGTCACTGAGACCTCAGCGTCCATATAGAATCCAAATTCAGTTTCGCAAAGGCTTGGAAACTAACTCCTCCACTGAGCTAATCTGTAGCGTATCTCCGGGTTGGCGTGCTTGTGTCCACAGATTCACCGCGAGATCTACAAGTCTGCCAGTTCGTCGTGTCATCAAAACCTTACCAGTAACACCATCAAAGTGTTATATGTGTTCTCTTGCAAGAGCCGTGGTGCAACGATTATGAATAAAGGGCTTTCGTCTTAATCGCGTAAGTAAGTGTGGTGTTGTATGTTGTACGAAGGATTCCGTACCCAGGTTCCGTTATAACTACCCTACTGAACTATCTCAGGGCATCAGCTGTATGTGTCAAATTACCCTTCCATACAGAACAATCTGTCATTCCCCCACGCCCACATCATTTTTTGTACACCACATTCAATCCAGAATGTGGGACTACTAAGATCAGTAATGTAGGAAATGGGGCAATAGATTCTAGAAGACGTCCAAAGATACTGATAGGGGCCTTGAACGCCGGAAACCGGATGTTGCATTTACCGGGGCAGTAACAAACCGGCGCGCGTTCTGCCGCCGGGACGCGAGCGGCGTCGCGTGGTCGCGGGGCGGGTACTTGACCCCGCCCTCGCCCCCGTCCGAGCGCCTAGGCCCCGTCTATTCCTGGCCGCGTGGCACGAGCGGCGAAGCGGCTCCTCGCGGACCGCAAGCGACGCTCGGCGCACCAACTGGCCAACCAGCACGGGAGATGCGACACTGTTGATGCCCATGTTGCCAGAAAATCCATATTTCGATTTAAAAATTTCGAATTTTTGAACATCGATGATTTGTGCCCGATTTTTTTTTTACATTTTTATGTTTTGTTCGTGGATGAAAAATTCCCAGAATCACAATTTTGTAAAACTTAAAATATGAAATAATAACTGATGGCACGTACCATTGTTTGTTTACGTGTTCGAACAACACGAATGCGGTATGTAGTAGTACCGTCATCGAGTAGTATCCCTCACCCGAGATGGTCCTGATGCCCTCTCGTTTCCTTCGTCTTTTCTCGCATTTCACACACGGAAAGGCGATTTTTCACTATGTTTTCAGTTCAATTTCAACTACAAATTATGGTTGGGTTGTTAGACTAGTGTTTAAAGGTTACGTTACTGCTGAAGGTGTTCTACCAATGAAACTGCTGATTCATGCGCATTACGTGCCTTGCAAGGCCAACATCACGAAAGAATCAATCTATAAATTTCGAACACAGCGCAAAACCAAACGCGCGGGAACGCGATGCGCTGATATGAACTGAGAGAAACCAACGCCACCTGCGCCAGCCTGATAATAGCTATTGGTGATAGGGGGGTAAAAGTGACATTATTTTGCTAGTAGAAAAATGTTGCGTCACACGAGGCTGATACGCCAAGTGCCACAATCGTACTACCAAAATAAAGTATCTTTTACACATGTGTCGAACACAATTTTTTAGACAACCTGACTGACTTTCATTTTATTTTTATTAAAGTACACAAATCATTTACTGATACACTGAGATTAGTAGCAGCTGAGGCGGTCAGACGAAATTATTTTGTGTCTTTTATTGTATTCACAAATTTACCTCACTACTCGCCTTACATTGCATTGCATTGTCTACTTTTAGAACTAGTGCTAAAAATTTAACTTAAAGCACGCTACGCATACCCTAAAAGAACAGTTTTCGCTAGGGACTGTCTAAAAAACATTATTTACCCAAATTTCAAAAAAATGCCCGTCTTCATCCGATGTCTGTACAGAATCCTACACGAACACACTATACGTAATTTTAATGTTCCTGAACGACTGGACAGAAATCCAACAGCTTAAATAAGATTCCACACATTAGCACGGCGTTTCTCTTACCTCAACTGAACGTCGAGAAAATTCTGCAACCAACGAAACGACGAGTCTAAATAAAGCTGCGCGCAACAAGAGCAAAAGCGTCGAGTCGCGACGCGTCGCGCGGCAGTGCGGTTCGTTGAGCGGAGAGCGGCGCGCGGGCGGAAGTACGTCGCCGCCGGAGATCGCCTCCGCTAAGGGCGCCTTCCCACGTCGCGACGGCGGCGTGTTTCCGTCAAGCAGCGTAGCCCGACCGACGCCGCCCCCGCTGCAGCCACGGCCGCACCGCCGCCCACCGTGGAAGGGGGTGGGTTCTGCAGGGGTAGGTTTCGCCGACACCTCTGGCGACGTCACACAAAGGGACCGTAGCAGGTAAAACGAAGCGACCGGCGGCACAGTGGGAATGCTACCATCGAAGAAAGCTGTATTCTGCTAGCGGTGGCGGGTACGCCCTCCTCCGCTTCGCGTAGCGAGAGCCCGCCACAGTTTGCCGCAGCAGCGCCCGACCGCTGCACGTGGAAAGGTCTCCATTCAAACCAATGCTCTGCTACGAGACGAGGCGCTCGGAAGAGCACCTGGGAAGGGGCCTTAACAGTCGGCCGGACGTGCAGCCCAGCGCTCAAGAATTGCCTTGTCACGGTGTCACGCGTCGCGACAATATGATATTAATATTGCTAATCCATTTGTTTTTTGTTTTGTTTTATTGTTCCTCCTAAAACGGAGCAATTAGAACTTGATAAACGTCATGCTGAAGCGCGCAAGCACAACTGACCCTGCTGACATCGTAAACCTGAGTCGTCGCACTTTGTCAGAAAACGAGAAATTTCGCCGATTACGGGAATATGCTCTTACTGGTAATGCTAATGACACCAACTTAAAATTTAATGAAGGTTTTTTATACATACATCGCAGTTGGAATCAATGAGATTTCGAACACTCCTCCGTTCTTGCGCCTCTAGAAAGTGTGAAAGTCCAAAATAGAGGCTATTTGCATTACCGACTGCAGCATGGCGCAAACAGCAACTCGATACCTCAAACAGTTTTCAAGATATTTGATGTGGCCAACCTAAGTGGTCCACCCTGTATACTTATATATTAGCTTTCGTTATGAAATGATTCAGTATTTTGTTATTGTGGGCCACAGATAGGTAGCTACATTGCCCAAAGTAGGAATTGCCTAACCAGAACGGGCAACAGTAAGTTGCACAGACTATTGTTTTACTTTAACCCTTGATTTAGTCATTTATATAGTAGGTAAATATGAAAATTTAAGAAAATTGTAAAATTAATTTTCTAGTTTATTTTTTACAATAATGTGGACAAATGCATTTGTAACATTTAGCTTACTGGTGTAAGAATATGAACAATGCAGCATTTTTATTTTTCTTTCAAAATTAGTAAAAATTGGAATTGTGATTTTGTGTCACTAGATTCTCTCCTTCCTTCCCGGTTTTGCGCCTCCCAATAGGTACCCATCATGAAACTTATTAAGCTACTCGGTTCCCATTATTCCTAAGAATCATCGAATTTTTGCGAGACGCACAACTCAAACCTTAGCCTTCCATCACTAGCTTATGAAAACATAAGAAAAATCAGTTGAGGAATTTTTTTTCCATCGAAAGTCGCTCACAAATCTTGTATTGAGAATTACTGTTGCTTTTCCAATTTTCAAAAACATTATTTTATTCCTGTGTTTACTTTGTCTGAGAGTAAATAACTTTGGTAAAAGCAAACAAGAAATTCACGAATAATGTAAGTCAATGGCAATGACAAGCTCCGAAAACACATCAAAATATGCTCCGAGAGCACGGTTTTCAGCATTTAATTTTTCATAAGTCGATCTTAATTTGTAACGTCACAAAATAATATTGGAATTCTTTCTTTACACGGTAAATACTAAGGCTGAAGTAAGTAATCAAACTTGC